ATACCTTGAAGTCTCCAAAGCTGTCCCGGCTCACTGATAGTGCGGCTGATAAGGTGCACCTGGATCTGCACACGAAAAACATGTGCAGAGAGTAGAATGAGTACACCACAATCGGTACCCAATAAGTGCCAAGCCTAACCACGATCGAGTAGTGACGAAGTCAAGTCCGGGCCCTACTGGTGAATATATATAATAAAATAATATAGAGTGTAATACCGCAATAAAATAAAGGCTAAAATTTAACAACAATGAAATCATAGAAGGTAACAGCTCAGTACACAGAAACATAACAGTGGATCTCCCAAGATACCGTCTCGTAGTCCCAAATGTAAATGAGCAGGGGGATCTCCCGGAATACCGTTCCGTAGTCCCAAAGTAAATATGCAGGGGGATCTCTCGGAATACCGTTTCATAGTCCCAAAGTAAATATGCAAGACAGGGGGATCTCCCAGAATACCGTTCCGTAGTCCCAAAGTAAATATGCAAGACAGGGGGATCTCCCAGAATACCGTTCCGTAGTCCCAAAGTAAATATGCAATACAGGGGGATCTTCCGAAATACTGTTCCGTAGTCCCAAAGTAAATATGCAGTACAAGGGGATCTCCCGGAATACCGTTCCATAGTCTCAAAGTAAATATGCAGCGCGAATGATAGAAATACAACTACATCATGAAATTCTTACAATTTGGACTAAGTACCAGTCAAGGAAGAAGCAGAAAATTCACTAAGCATGCTGCACATAATTCACGTAAACAATTAAGACACGTAGACATGTTGTATTAGACAGAACATGGTAGCTACACATATTGGAATAACTCAATTAAGAATGAAAATAGATTAGTACTCATTAAAATGGTATAACTCAAAATAACAGGAAAACATGTTGCTGCTTAGTTAGAAAAATCGGGTTTTACCATAATTAGCTCGTGTATGTACTCGTCACCTCACGTACACGGCACGCACATATCACAATAGTTCTAAATCTTTAGGGGATTTCCCCCACACAAAGTTAGGCAAGCCACTTACCTCGAGTCACGCTCAATTAATCGGTCACAATGCCTTTCCCACAAATATCCGGCTCTGAATGGCCCAAATCTAGCCAAAAATAGTTACATATCATAAATATAACAATAATAAACTCATCTAATTAACGAAATCAACACTTTAACGAAAATTCCGAAATTAACTCAAAATTGCCTGTGGGGCCCACTTCTAGGAATCAGGTAAAAGTTATAAAATAAAAAAGTTCGTTCACTCACGAGTCTAACCATATCAAATTTACTAAAATCCGACACCAAATGATCCTCCAAATCCACAAATTAAACTTCTAAATCCCTAACCTCCAATTCCCAATTTTCACCTTAAATACACACTAACTAGGTGGGAAAATACATGGGAAAGTAAGATTATTGATCAAAAATAAGCACAAGGGACTTACCTCAAGAAACTCCTCAAACATCTCTCAAGAAATCGCCAAACCCGAGCTCAAAATGTTGAAAATGAGCAAAAATCGCGAACACTTGCATTTAAGTGTTCTGTCCAGAAATCTCACACCTGCGGTCCATAGTCGCACCTGTGACACTGCACTTGCGGAATTTTTATCGCAGGTGCGGAAATGACTTAAGGGGATTGGGTCCGCATCTGCGAGCAATGGGCCGCATCTGCGCGCCCGCTCCTGTAGAATTGTTCCGCTTCTGCGATCCCTCACGCCCTAGCCCCTTCCGCTTCTGCGCTCCATCTTCTGCATCTGCGGATGTGCAGATGCGGTTATACCTCTGCACCTGCGACCTCTGGCCTTTTTCTTCCAAACCGCACCTACGTCCCTGTGCTCGCTTCTGCGAGGCCGCACCTGCTGACTTTCCACCGCAGGTGCAAAAACATCAGAACCAGCAACTTCAAAATTCTTCTAAGTCCAAACTTTTACCCATTAAGCATCCAAAACTTACCCGAGGCCCTCGGGACCTCGACCAAATACACCAACCAATCATAAAACATCATACGAACTAAGTCAAACCCTCAAATCACATCAATTAGCGCTAAAATCATAAATCATCCTCCGATTCAAACTTAAAGAACTTGAAACTTCCAAATTCGACAACTGACGCCGAAACCAACCAACCCACGTCCGATTGACCCCAAATTTTGCACACAAGTCATATTCAATATTACGGACCTATTCCAACTTCCAAAATCGGAATCTGACCCCGATATCAAAAATTCCATTACCGGTCCAAAACTCCAAAAATTTGATTCTCGCCAATTCAAGCCTAAATAAGCTACAGACCTCCAAAACACAATCCGGACACGCCCCTATGTCCAAAATCACCTAACGGAGCTAACGGAACTGACGAAATTCTATTCCCGAGTCGTCTTCATACAGTTCCGACTACAATCCAAATTCTAATGTTTAAGCTCTCATTTAGGGACTAAGTATCCCAAAACACTCTGAAACTCATAACCAATCATCTTGGCAAGTCACAGTAGCAGATATAGATATGGGAAAAGCAGTTAATAGGGGCTCGGGGCTCTAACTCTCAAAACGACCGGCCGGGTCGTTACAAAATCACTAGTTGGCTTGCCTAGCTATAATGTTGGGCGCCATCACGACCTATATGTGAAATTGGGTCGTGACATGGTTAGTGTATGAATTTACTGGATTTGGATTGTTTTGTTTTTTGCAGATATTATTAAAGTTGTTTCTCACGTGAATTTTTCAAGTCTATTATGACAAATGGTAATTATAATTGCATGAGTCACTAGAGTAACTTGCTTCTTCTTTCTCCTCCATTTTTGTTTTCTCTCCTCTCATTTCTTCCTTTGATCTTCAAGTATTATAGTTTCTGTCTGTAAGAAATATAATTCTGAATGATGCATAATTTAAAATAAAACCCGATTGAATGTTTCCTTGCTTTGAATTTGGTCAAATGTTTTTAGTAATTTGGAAAGGAAAAAAAAAATTATCTTTCTGTTTTTTTATAAATGCAAGTGGAGAATAATGTATGAAGAATTTAACTATGTTTGTCATGCACTTTTCGACCAATTATACTCCTTTAACAGTCCATTGATAATATAATTTTGATTTTTGTGAAAAATGTGATCTATATTTTTATAATGAAATAATAACTACGGGGTAAAAAAAGAAGTAATGGATAAAATTGAAAGAAAAGGGGAAAAGGAAAAGAAGAATCATCTGGAAAAGAAAAAGAGATTCATTCGTTGAAAGGGGAAGTGTATTGGTCTTCTCGTGTTCCTTCGGATCTAACATTTTACTTTTCTTGATGACAATAGTAGCCATTTGAAATTATTAGTAGAGTTTTCAAGAAATTATCATTGATACTCATGGAAACTTAGGATCTTTCTCCCATATTGAGTTTAGTTGTTGACAATGAAATTTTTTTTGTATATGATCATATATGTATGGAATTTAATTAAAATTTGTGAATACTTTCATATTGTCTATTTAGTTCTTCAATTGATTTTGAATAATGAGTTTTTTTCCATGAATGACATATGTGTATGAACTAATGCTAATTCCTGGAGTTTTATTGGTTTCTTAATCCAATAAGAAATTATGTTTTCTTTTTATCAATTCCTATGTTGTCGACTCATTGTCATTTTATTTTCTTTTTTTAATTATTTTTTTAATAGCGAAAAAATATACTTAGTTCTAATTAAATAAAAATTTATCTCTACAACGACTTGATTTATAAGGTCATTCTAAATTCTCTATTACACCATGCGCGAAGCACCGACACATTCACTAATGTATTAATAATGCCTGCAGTCTAGTAATATCAACGTGAATCTCCACATAATAAATGGGGAAATAATTTCTATTCTCATATTCCCCTTCCCCAATCCCCAATTATAAGTGGAAATAGTTTTAAAGGAATGTAGTACTATTTAGCAGTTGCACAAGTTATATCAGCAGTGATAACACGCAATAAGAGCAAAAACCAAAGAGGCGAAAGGGGAAAAATGTAAGAGAAAAATAGAGAATCCTAAAATATAATTGATGTGCTGGCGGTGGGATAAAAGACAATAATTAGGAAAGTGACGTTCCACCAACTTCAGTTTTCATAAACTGAAAAAACATGTTTTCATGTGCTTCCTTTTGTCCTTTGCATAAATACAAATACTAACCTCGTCCCAACAAAGATGATATTTTTGGGATTTTAAAAGTTAATTTTTTAATTTTGATCATAAATTTAAATATAATAATTTTAAAGTTTTAAATAAAATTTTTAAAATATATTAAAAATTAATATTTAATAATTCAAAATATTTAAAAAAATATAAAAAATAGTAATTAAAGAACAAGACGTCTGACTCTCGCAATTAAAAAAATATGATCTTTTTGCAACACAGGGAATATTGCTTAGTAATACTATCAAAATTAATTACTGCCATTTGAGTCAGAAAACACAAAACATTTTCTGTCACTTTCTCCATTCCACCACTGTTCTCACTTGGTAATCGTGGCCAAAAGAAAATTAAGGGGTAAACTATTAAGCACCTTTATCATCTCTTTTGGATCCATTTCCGCCTCGTTAATTTAGAGATTATTTTGCTTTGCCTTTATAGTAATAGTCATGTATGATCATGATGATATTAGAACCCCACCATTTTAATTTTGAATTAAAACTAGAGTATCAAATAAGTAAATCGCGTCATATTTAAAGTCGTCCAATTTTGTTGAATCAATGACATGACCACACAAATCTAGAGAAGTGTTGCCTCAAATATCATTTTAGTTGCATATCATAATCCAATTTTTTTAACTCAGAAATACTTTTTTTTTAATTCATTCCAAATTAAGAGGATCTATAGTATTTTCACACTTCCTCTCCAGCGTGACTCAAACCCGGGACCTAACGATCGTAGATGTAGGTGCTTTTACCAACTGAGCAATATCACTTGTCCTCATAAACACTTTGAATTTGTTCATTTGTTTGTTTTGCCTTTTCTTTTGCTTTAATTACTTTATGTAATGAAGTTGCTAAAAAAGAACTGATAGTACAATAAGGTAAAATATACTTATGGTAAAAACATAGATCGAGCTAGGCACGAAAAGGTAAAATGTACTACTGACAATTATTAGTTCAACTAAAATCTAAAGAAGATCACATTGTGATCGAGGCACGAAACTCTCTTCAATAAGACTAGCAATTGGCCTCACCTTCTTTCCTTTGAAATGTGTCTGCAATTCCTTCATAGCGAATATTCTCAGTTCTTCCACTCTTTTCTTGTAATTATTTTTTCCTACTCCATTTATCATTCCTTGTATTATTCCAACATAAACCCCATAATTCCTCAAGCTTTCTACTTCTTCATCACTTCCATCTCCTAAAATGGCTCCACAAGCAGCTCCACATGCATGAATCTCTCCTTCTTTCTTCTTGCACGCGTATTCCCATAACTTCTCATCTCCATTGCCTGATTCCTTCCATTCTATCTCCCTAAATTGGCCTTCTAGCAATCCCTGTGACCCTACAGCTCGTGTGACCTCAGTAATAACCCTTAAGATCTTGTTCGAGTTCTCTCGGGCCGGGTTCATGGCTTTGGCTAGTAGTTCAATAGCAAAGGCCATGATACCATCTCCCGTGAGAAGCTCGATATTCGGGCCGAACTTGTGGTCGATTGCGGGCTTGGGCCCGGAACTGTGCATGTGTTGGTGGGTGTAAGTAGCAACATGCATGAGATGTATTGCTGATGCTGCAGCCATGGCTTGGACCCTTTCGCCACCTACCAGCTCGCACGCCGCAACGCATAAGGCTGATGCTGTGGATTTGGGTGTTGTTGTAAACGTCAAGTAATGCATGGGCTCGAAGACAGATTGAGGTGGCCTAATTGATATGACCTTCTTAAGATGGGCTTCAATTTCAGATTCGATGGAGGCCCGGTAGGATTGATCATGGCCCATTTTAACTACCATTGGCTTGTAACATGATGAATATGAACACCTAACTGAAGTGGGGAGGTTTGCTGAACCATTGATAGAACAAAAGACCCTTGCCATGCTAAATTCTTGAATCTGAAATGTTATTAAAATGGAAAATGAACTCATATCACCTTTAAGTATGGAATCTTGACAAATATAAAAAAGAAGACAAAAACTGAAAATAAGGGTGTACCGTGTACGAGTCTCCTTTTTTATTTTTTGGTTATTTTTCTTGTGATTCACGTTTTTAGAATTTCGCAAAACACCAAAAAGCCACAGGTGTTGTTGTGACTTGTGTCTCTGCCTTTCTATTTCTTCCATTTTAAAATTCTTATTGTAATTAATCTCAGTTGGGTATACCTAATATTAATATGATCGGATGTTCTTTAGACTTTGTAGAAAAGCGCTCTAATTTTGCGTCTTCACTGTGGTTTCTCAAATCTTATAATTTTACAAAATGAAAGGGTCATTGGACAAATTAAATGCATGTGGACTAACAATTGTGAGTTTAATGATCCTAGACGTAAGAAAATTCACCTTTATTAAAAGTGGTGCTTAATTTGATTATACAGAAAAGGGCCAAAAATGCCTCTAAGGTATTGAAAATGACTCAATTTTACCCTTTTTTCACCTATTAGGCCATAAATATCATTAACGTTAGTTTTTGGGCTCAAACTTACCCAACAATACCTCTAAAGTATTGAAAATAGTTCATAAATATCCTCAGTTAACATTTTGGTCCGTAAATGCCCTTAACGTTTGTTTTTGGGCTAAAACTTACCCCTATATATAACAGAACTAACCTGGTCAATTTTTTAACTTTAACTTCGCCATGTGGCATTTTCTTAATTCGACACGTATATTATTTGTATTAAATAAATCCACTTGTATCTTTCAAAATACCCAACGACCCTGACCCGCTCCTATATATTTGGACGGTCAGCTAAAAATAATTACAGTCGCTAGTTAAATATATAAAAAATATAAATAGATTATATATAAAAATATGTATATTATACATTAGTATTTTAATATATATTTTACATGATATTATTTTTAGGAGAAATTATACGGTGTAGTTTTCCCTTTAAATTTTGCAAATCTTAACAAGTTTAACAAATATAAAAATGATAATGTTCTATTTATATGATTCTAAAGGAGAAGCAAAGAAACAGATGGAAAGGAAATTATTTAAAACCTTTAATTATATACATAACCAATTGCTTAGCACATTAATGGACTTCACATGATCTTTTCATTGGGAACTAATAGTGTTTTAGTATATAACGATAGAGCTAAAATATTAGCAAAAATTATCGTTCCATTGTCATATTTGCTTAATAAATTCGAGTTATAGATCATAATTAATAGAAAAAACTACACCGTATAATTTTTTCTAAAAATAATATCATGTAAAATATATATTAAAATATTGATGTATTATATACATATTTTTATATATAATCAATGTATATTTTTTATATATTTAACTAGCAAATCTAATTATTTTTAGCCGACCGTCCAAATATATAAGAGCGGATCAGGGTCGTTGGATATTTTAAAAGATACATGTGGGTTTATTTAATACAAATAATACACGTGGTGAATTAAGAAAATGTCACATGGCGAAGTTAAAGTCAAAAAATTGACCAGGTTAGTTCTGTTAGATATAAGAGTAAGTTTGAGCCAAAAAACAAACGTTAGAGGCATTTGCGGACCAAAAGGTTAACGGAGGGTATTTCTGAGCCATTTTCAATATGTTAGGGGTATTGTTGGCCCTTCTGTTAGATATATGGGTAAGTTTGAACCCAAAAACTAACGAGGGCATTTATGGCCCAATAGGTGGAAGAAAGGCAAAATTGAGCCATTTTCAATATGTTAGGGACATTTTTTGTCTTTTTCCGTTGATTATATGAAAAAGTTATAAGTGAAGGCAATAATAATGCAGAGTGCATGTGTCTACATTTTGCAAGCCATATGCGTGTTAGCAATATAATGAATAAAATTGATTTTCGAACGGAGTAGCACGCGAATAGTGAAGATGAAAAAATAAAATAGATAAGGATTAAACTATAATTGCAGCTTAATATTCTATAGAACATAGGCTTTAATTTTAGCTGTTGGCTGCTTCATTGTACGGATCAATAATTCTTTATGGCAAGAGATAACGAAGAAGAAAGTTAAGGCTATATATATAAGTGTGTACGGTCAAAACCGATTCTTAGTCATAAAGACCGATCGAGACAATGACGTTTCAATCGAAGGGTATCCGCATGGCGAACTCGGACGAATTCCAAAATAGAGATGTCGAGCTTCAAGCTATAAGACCAATCAATCGCAAAACTCAATATCATTATCAAGCCCGCGTCCGAATCGGACTACAGGGTAACGACGACCGACACAGGCCCCGAATATCGATGCTCCAAGACAGAACCGAGCCGAACTAAGACTGGGGATTCTATCTAGCACCAAGCTCGAGTCAATGCCAAGCTCGTAGACAAGAGCCGTTACAACCGCACCAAGGGAGAGAATCTTGGCGAGAATCAAGGGAGAGACAAACCATCATGGGTTCTCCACTATATGTATTATTTTATGTTGTTACAAATAAAGTAGTGACCCTCTACTATAAAAAGGGAGATAGACTGCAATAGGGACAGGAGATAGAGATTTTATTGTGCTTGTTCTTCTAATATTTTTCAGTCTTCCCGTCCATCATTTCTCATTTCATAGCAAAAAATACCTCTATCATCATTTTGTATCAAAAAAATTTGCGTACCCTTAGAACCACATCTAAATTTAACGTTATCCGATTTTTCGGGTAAACAGTTTGGCGCCCACTATGGGGCTAAGGGTAACGGTGATTGTTTGATATAAATCTACAGTACACTCCAGCTTACAACTTCGAATCAGCCATGGCTCTACCTATCGACCTCGAAGCCGGCCTTCAAGATGAAACTAACAACTTGGTGCCCGGGGCCGGAAGGCTACCTGACAACGGCAACGAGGCTCGAATCGAAGAGCCCGAAATTCGAGCCGAAGTACCACTGGATATCAATTCGCAAATAGCTCTAGAAGCGAATCAGCGTTCTGAACCAGAGAGGAGCGTTCAGGGCGGTGCTCGATCCATAGCCCGAGACACCTACAGCACGGGGGAAATCGGGGTCAGCTTGCGTATGATTTTTGAAATGTTGCAAGCCCAACAAGCAGCGATAGCTCAGTTGCTAAGCCAAACTCATACGCAAAGCGGGCCGAACTCCAATCCGCTTCTTCGAGAAGCCAACCCCAGAACGGAACCCGCCGTAGTGAAATCAAACGAGCAGGAATCGGGGACTGCTCCTGAAATTACTAAATTGCTCGAGGAACTCACAAAGCGAGTCGAAGCCAATGACAAAAAAGTGAAAATGTATAATGCTAGGGTCGATCAAATTCCGGGGGCTCCGCCAATGATAAAAGGGCTTGATTCGAAAAAATTCATACAAAAGCCTTTTCCCTCGAGCGCAACCCCAAAACCAATCCCCAAAAAATTTTGTATGCCCGAAATTCCCAAATATAATGGTACGACTGATCCTAACGAACATGTCACCTCCTACACATGCGCCATCAAATCCGTGTTGTTGAAAATGTTCGGAGAGACCCTGGCAAAAGGAGCGATGATCTGGTATCACAACTTACCACTGAATTCCATTGATTCTTTCGCCATGTTAGCAGACTCGTTCGTAAAAGCACATGCTGGTGCCATAAAGGTTGCAACAAGGAAATCGGACCTCTTCAAAGTAAAGCAAAGGGGTAACGAGATGCTGAGGGAATTCGTATCCCGATTTCAAATAGAGCGTATGGACTTGCCACCGGTCACAGA